AGAAACAAAAACATCTTTTATTAATATTGACGACATAAATGGAAAGGGGAACTACAATTCTCCAGCTAGGACAGAAAGAAAAGATCCAGAAGTGATGGTGGCGTTGATGAAGCGGCAAGGGAAAATGGGAAGAGTGGAGGGCATCAGATATGTTGGAAAGGTGCTTGGTGGCTGGTTTGGGGGGTTTGGGAGAGTGGCGCAGTAGGGCAAGCTGCAGCGAAGGACGGTGAAGCGTGTTGGGTGATGGCGAGGTGAGTTGGACAGCAAGGAGAACTGTTGTACAGGAGCACAACAAGCTGCAAGGGGCAGTTGGGAGTAGGGGTTTAAACGAGTCGAGCTCAAGCAAGCCCATGGCTTATTCGTGTTCTGCTTGTTTAAATTAAGTTTTGTTAGTGTTCGGCTCGTGTTCGAAATTGCTCGTAAATTATTTATTCGTGTTCGGCTCGATTCAAACTCATTTGTTCGAATTAAGCTCATGTTCGACTCGAATTTTAGCTCGAACTAAAATTTCAAAAATTAAATTTTTTTAAATATTTTCAATTGAACTAAAAATAAAATATATTTCTATTTCACAAAAAATCACAAAAGAGTGCTTAAGTAAAGCTGAAAACTTAGAATTCTCTTGCTTTCTTTTTGCTTTTAAAGAGGATCAATGATGTAGCTTTCCTCAATCAAGTGATGTGGGATAAAAGTCAGACAACTAAATGGATAGAAAATGGGGCGGGCCATGCGAGTAGACTTTAGAGGCATTTACATACATGCCACCAAATTCTTTTGTATTTATATTTTTAACCTCCATGCCAGCAATAAAGCAGCGGGATTTTGGGGAAATGGGGCATTTACATAAATACGCGCAAGTCTTATGTATAGACATATCTATAACTTAATTTTTTTTTTAATCTGATGGGTATTTACATATACCACCCAATTCTTATGTATTTACATATCTTAACATATAATTTTTCTTTTTTACATTTTTATAAATAATTTTTTTATATCATTTAATTACCTTTTATATATTATTAATTTATTATTTAATTAATTCGAGCCAAAACCAGCTGAAAAAAAGTTTGTTCATGTTCGACTCGTTTATAAATCAAGCTGAAAAAATTTGTTTGTGTTCGACTCGTTGCTTATTGAAAGAAAAAACACAAGCTCTTAGCGAGTCGAACACGAGCTGTTCACGAAAGACTAGCTTTTTTCGACACCCCCCAGTTAGGAGGGCTAGAGAGGAAGACGAGCAGCAGGTTGGAGAGGAATAGAGTGCTAGAAGGCGGATTGAAAATGATGGAAAGCAATACAATGGCGAGAAAGAAGCGGCAGCTCAGCAGAGATGGTAGAGGAATGGTCGACAACTAATGGAATGGAAGGAGATAGGGTAGGAAGGATAGAGGAAGAAACATCACCACCTCAAAGTAGGATACGACTAAAGCACCACCATCCCCTCAAATACAACCCTAAAAAAGGTAGAATAGCTCCACAAAAGAATTTGAAAGCAAAACTAACCCTAATACAACAAAGCAACAATATAAAGACTCTCTCAAGTAAAAGACGGTAAATGAAGGAAAGAGGGAGGGCCGACGACACTGTCGTCTTTCCTAAAGTGCCACTCGATCAAGAGGGAAGCGGTAAAGTAAGTAAATCCCGCTCGACTCTTGCCGCATTCTGAACCGGTCACCTAAATTACTGTATGGACCGACTCCTCTATGCTAACGACTAAACCGACTGACTTGTTTCCGCAACCGTGCAGAAGTCTCCTGCACCTACGCCGGTCTCCCAAGGTTTGGAGAGCTTCGACCTCATTCATCGAAGCTTATGGTTCCTTGTCTCTAATCCTGGCGGCACCTGGGTCCTACTACCGGTTGCACTGTCGATCAAAGCATCTAAGAAATTGGCACCACTTGCGTGCCCATGTTTGTATCGATTCGCTCTCTTGAGACTGTGGCTCGTGCCTATACTGCTGGATCCTTCCCATGTAACTCATGGTCGGATAAGTCTAATGTGTCATGAGAGTAGCCAAAATCTTCCCGTCCGGTGGTGGTGCAGGTGATACAGTGTTGACTGTGAGGCTCTGACATCCTCTATGGCGTAACTGTCATGTGTCTGGAGTGGGTGTTTCAATCCTCTCATCCTGTGTAGTCACTAGAATTGGCTCCACTGACGCAGCTCTGCCGATAAGATTCCTGTGATCTCGAGCTCTGTCGAAGGAAGTAGAATGATGTGCTGCCCCTCCTTGGTAAATGAGTATGTGTTTCTGAATCCATCGTGTTGAGTCCTCTAATCAAACTGCTTCGGTCATCTCAACAGAAGGTGGAAGACATCCATTGGGATCACATTACACCACCTTTGGTCTTGCAGCTGGCCTTCGACCGAGAACTCTACCAAACATCTCTGGTTCATGTTGATCTAATTCTCCTTCTACAGCCATGTCAGTGAGTACGACTAGAAGTGTCTCTGAGTCGGGAGTCTCAATTGATTCCACATTCTTGATGTCACTGCAAATCCCTCGTGTCAATATCAATTTGTAGGGCTAGTCAAACTATGAGTGCCTCTCATTCATCTGGGGGAAGATGATGTATCTCTCTTTGGTCCTTAGTTGTATCCTCTCTAACCTCCTCCATTGTGCTCTGGTCTGTAAGTGTGACTACTCTGCTCGTGGGACAGCTGGAGGTGCTCCATCCTACTTCTTCCTGCTCTGAACTAGAGTGTCACTCCCTTGCCCGGGTCTGCTTTTGTCTCTCGGGGTACCTCTGTCGGTCGTTGTACCTGTAGGTGATTTCCTGCCTGCAGGTTGCTGCCTGAAGGATGACTGTTGTCGACCCTGCATTTGTTGCCTTTTCACATTTACGGCTAGTGTATGTACATCCCCAACGTGTTTGATTTCATATTTTTCTAAAAATATATATATATATATATATATATAATTTACATATATATATATATACGTAAATTAAAAAGTCCTTCCGAAGCGGGTGACGGGATTTTGATTCAGGCTGCCGACAGCTTCTTACGGGCGACCCCCAAACATAACTTTCTCCTTTTTTGTGCCGACATGGGGCTACCTGATGTGGAAAAAGGGGCTGGAATAGTGGACAACAACAAGTTGGAGGCGAATAGGGTGTTGGGAGGTGTATTGGAAAAGTTGGACAGTAAGGTAGTGACAGAAAAGGGGCGGCAAGACAGTGGGATGGTATGGGGATGGCCCATGACTAATGAAAAGAAAGGAGAAGGGGGTAGGGAGGAGGATAGAGGAAGATATATCACCACCGTGGAGTATGATACAGTCGGAGCACCACTATCTCCTCGGACACAGCCCTAAAATAGATAGAACAGCTCCACAAAAGAAACTGAAAGCAACACGCAGCAACAAAAACTAAGCCTAATGCAACAAAGCAACAATATAAAACTCTCCCAAGTAAAACATGAAAAATGAAGATAGAGGGAGGGTCTGCGACAGTGTCGTCTTTCCTAAAGTGTCGATTGATCGAGCAGGACACAGGAAAGGAAGTAAATCTCGCCCGACTTCTGTAGCATCCTGAAATGGTTGCCTCAAGCAGCGTCTGAACAGGCTCCCCTATGCTAGTCGGTCGGTCCCCTATGCCAGCTGCTTCTGCCAACTGGCTTGTTTCGCACATCCTTGTGGGAAACACCCACACCAGCATCAAATTCAACACAAAATCAAAATTTGAGAAACTCGCCATAGCTCTATTTGATTCAACATATACTTTAAGACGAGTTCCATTGCATGAAATTCAGCTCAATCTAGTTTGAGTTGAAGTCAATTCAACTAAAAATTTGACCCTATCTTAGATTTTGGATGCCTTTAGCACCCCCAGCTCATGCCTTAGTTTCATGGCCACTATAATAATGATTTTATACACAATAAAAATAACTAAATATTTAGAGTGTTATTTTACCACAAAATACTTGAGAAAGCTCTCTATTTTAGCGACTTAGCCTTAACTTTAAAAATTCATTTCTCTATTATACAGTTAATCTTTTATATAATTGAGCCAACACACCTACAAAGATTGTACATCATTCACTCAGTTTTTGTTCCACTAATCCTATGGCACATATCTTCTAAACATTTTCTCATAAAATTTTTACTTTGCATTTGGTTATCATGGCACCTCCCATTAAATATTCAACTCTCTCTCTCTCTCTCTCTCTCTCTCTGTATGTA